GGGCTGCGGGGGGGTCCCAGGGGACATTGCTCTCCTTCCAGCGAGCTCCCCTGTGTGAGGCCTGGGGCCTGAGCCCTGCACAGCCTGCCTGTACCCGGGGCTGCCACAGTAGCAGGGGCTGCTTGGGGCTGCAGGGGCTAGAAATTCCCTCTTCCCCTTCACAGCCGGCTGGCAGGGCCTTCCTGGCTGCAGGATGCGCTGGCTAATTACAGGGAGAAAGGAATTAGCAGCTCAAATATTCCAGCCTCTGCAAGGCTGCCCACAAGAGGACAAATTCAGTGTTAGTTTAATGAGGGTCCAAGATCAAAGCAGCCTGCAGCAGCAGTGGGAGATGAGTGTATGCTGAGTGCAGCGCAGTAAGTGCTCCCCACGCTCCCCAAAGCCCACCGGGATGCGCCATGCCCCGGCCACTCTCCACCACCATGGAGCTGTGGGGCAAGTGCTCCCCACAGCCCAGGACCGGACGACGATGCCCACACGCAGCACCGGGACTCTCACCTCAGTGTCCACTGGCAGCAGGAGTAGTCACGGCTCCTCCAGCAGGGCCACCGGCCTCGGAGAGGAGGACATCTACCAGCCTCCTCTGGGAAGTGCCTGGCACCCTGGGCCACGGCAAGCGGCTGTTGCAACCAGAGGTCTGGCGAGGGGGGGCAGAGGGCAGGAAGGTCTGGCCACGGCCTCTCCAGCCAGCGCCCACACCACAGTAACCCAAAGCAGGAGACTCACACGCGCAGGAGCCGACATGGCATTAAGCCCCATCTCTTGTGCCGGGGACCCGCCTGGTGCTTGCAGGGCTGCAGCCCGGCAGTGCCGAGGGGGGCCGGCGGCGCCGAGGGAACCACGTGGTGCCGAGGGGCCCTGACTGCTCGGCCATGGGAGATGCTGCAGCACCCAGTGCCAGCCCCGCTCGCCAGTAGCCGCCCGAGCCTCAGCTGCAGCCTCTCCTGCGGCAGCTCATCCCTTCCCTGCAGGGCGCTCGCAATACCCGTGGGACGGGGCCGAGCTGTCAAGGCGGGGAGGTTGGAGGCCTCTCAGGACCCAAGTTCCTGGGACAGTGAATCTGGGGCACTCCTCCCTTCTTGCCCAGCAGCAACAGGATGGACGGAGGCCACCGCCAGCGTGGGCACACATGTCTCTGGTCCCCCCAAGCCTTCCTAGCAGCCACAGCTGCTGGAGCAGCCTGGGCTGAGGGGCCTTGGACACTGGGGTGAAAGCAGGGGCTGCAGCAGCGGCATGGAAATCATGAACGACACTGGGAAAGCTTCCAGACGGCGTTTCTGGAGCCCGGCAGGGCTAGCGCATGGGAAGGGGAGCAAGTGGTGGGAATCAGGCGCAGGCAAAGGGTCGCTCCCCTTCTCCCACACTGTATATGGAGCCACACTTCAGTACCCAGCGTCCCTCCTCGCCTCTGTCACAGCCTGGCAGAGCGTGCCCAACAGCTCTTTTTGCTATTGCTTCCTCTGGTGCTGAATCACGCAGCCTGGGAACAAAGGCTAAAAGCAAGACAATACCAAATGCAACCCTGTATGCATCTCCTGCCTGAGTCGCATCTCCTGCCTGAGTCACATCTCCTGCCTGAATCATACTCCAACGCTGAGAGCCCACTGTGCCTGCCCAGCACGGCCCCAGCAGTGCAGCTTTCGGCAGCAGAGCTGTGGGCACGTCTGGCAAAGCAGCACTGCCTGGCCATGAGGCCACTTGTGCCCAGGTGTCAGGGAGCCATGGGCCCAGCCAGTAAAGCCACCCCAGGACGGCAGAGCCGCTGTCGGGAAACGTCACCACGGGGTTGCACCACCGCGGCTGTGCCGGCCAAGTGGGCAGGGGAAGGCAGGCTGAGCCGGGAGCCGAAGGGGAGACCTTGTGCCTCCCCTGTCCCTTGGGGGTACAAGAAGGGGTCACCAGGCAGGGAGCAGCAACGCCGGTCCCTCAGTGCATCAGTGGGAGCAATCCCAGCACCCGGGACACTTGCAGACCAGGGCAGCCTCATTCGCCAGAGAGCATGGGCAGGGCCAGTGAGGATAAAGCTCCTGTCCTGCCCGCCAGCTTTATTGCCTCAGTTTAGTTAGGTTTTTATTAACGAGAACAAAGAACAGGATAGCAAACCTGCAGGCTTACCCCAGGAAGGCTCAAGCAAAGGGCCAAGCTGCCACTCTGGATGCCCACACCTTCCTGGGCATGGCACGTAACGCAACACAGCACGGCACAGCATGGCGCTTCCCCACAGCACGGTGCTTCTCCACTGCTGCACAGCCCTGCTGCTCACTCCGGGCTCCCGAAACACAGTCGGACCCAGCTCCTTGCCCACCCTCATGACCCATTGTCAGGCCCACGCCTCACTGCCCAGCCAAGCACACTGGGTCTGCCGCCATGTCCACATCAGAGTGTCCATGAACCCACACTGGCCACAGCTCTGTTTCCATCTCCTTCGTGGTTAGATCATTGCACGTGGTGCAGCTGCTCTGCATGAAGCTTCGGCTGAGCAGCGCTCTGACCTGCCTACTCCTCCCACGAGAGGTGGGTGTCCCAGCACATTCCTCCCACTTGTTCTTGGCATGTAAAATTGTGACGGTTCACCGCATCCAGTTGCTTGTTTTCTGGAGAATACAGCCCAAACCTCTCATCTGCTTCCAAAACGGGCTTCCTGCATCACAAACACCCTGCCTGCTCCTCCCAACACACCCTCTGCTCCAGACCTGCTCCCGGCATGTCTCCCCCTCCCTTTTGGGCTTTCTCATGCATCCTGCTGTGTTTAATACCTGCACATCCAGCCCCAGCCAGCTGGGTACCAGGCTGCAGTGCCAGCTGAGGAGCAGCGTTGGCCACCCAGTCCCAGACCCCTAAATCAGCGATGCCTTTTGCATCTCCCGCGTTGCCCAAAAGCAGCCGTGGGAAGCGGTGCAGCCCCAACGCCCGGCGCAGCACGAGGTGGCGGTGGTGGTACTCACCCGCAGGGCGTTCTCCCGGTCCAGGATGATCACCCTCCGATTGACAGTGTGCAGCAGCCGCTCCAGGATCAGCTGGATGTGCTTCTTCACCTTCACCTGCAAGGCAAGAGGTGTCATGGCCATGCCTGAGCGCCTGGCGCTGCCTGCCGTGGTGCCGGGAGGGAGGGCACAGGTGACACCACAGCTGACGGGAATCGCCCCCGCGGCACAGAGCCGTCATGAGGTCCCCAGTCCCCACAGGCAGCCAGTGCTGACAGGTTGGGGGCATGCTGCCTCCTGGGCCACACGCGACTGGCCCCGTGGCACCGCCGCAATTACTGTGGCTCACCAAAAAAAGCAGGCAAGGAAGTTGCAAAGCGTTTGCAGTTATTCTTGGCAGAGGGCGCAGGAGATGGGACTGAGGGCATAAGTTTCCTCAGCACCCCACAGTGCCCGGCGCTGCTCCAGCGGCGGGAGACAGTGGCCGTCAGATGAGGATGAGCCCCAACACCTCTGCAGCTCCAGCTGTGGGGGACCGTGGCCACCAGGCGAGTCCTGTGCCCAGGATCCTCAGCCATGGGACCAGACAGCTCTGGTCTTTGGTGGTGGCCAGACGGGAGCACACTGCCAGAAGGGACAGGCTCGTGGCACCTCGGGAGACGGGAATTCACGAGCTGACTCTAAAGATTCGTGATTTATATGAAATACTGAAATAAAAGTCTTGTCCACTCCAGCACAGCAAGTACGGCTCATTTAATCACCATGCAGGGCGCTGGCAGCATCAGGGTGACCAGCTGGAGCTGCAGCTGGAACAAGGCGATGCGCTCCGGTGAAAACATGGGGCTTGGGGTGTCTGCACAGCTCGGCCTCGTACGCCTCCCTGGCAAAGCTGGCCACCCAGCTGGGGACAGCTGGGGACGGCTGCACCTGCGCTAGCCAGAGCTGTCCCCCAGAGCAGTCAGTACCACGGACAAAGGTGGGTTTCAGTTCACATGGGGTTGAAACAAGAGAAGTATCCTCACCCATGAGCATCCTGACTATCCTCTCCTTAAAGGCTATTTTAGGTTTAAAAGTTAAGGCCAAAACGAGACATTTCGACCACAATTTCCAAGCTTTGCCATCTGTTGCCTGGGCTTCCCAGCGCCACGGGAATTAAAAAGCCACACTCACACAGCCACCTCGCCCACCCAGGACATGGTGGCACACATCTAATTCAGCTTCCACAGCGCCGGTTGCTGTGCTGTAGGTGTGACATTTGGACTTCCCAAGGGGTCCCAGAAAGGGACCTCAAAGCACAGACCAGCCTAGAAAGGACAGAAACGGAGGAAGTATCCTGCAGAGACAGAGCACAGATCCCTGCGCTTTCCCAAAACATTGCAGGAACAGCCACCACCAGCAGCTGCCATGCGACTTCCAGCCACTTGGCCCTGCTGTGGGTTGACTGGGGCTTGCAGGGAGAGACGGTGATGGGCTCACTGGTGGCCCAGGGACATGGCCCAATGCTAGTTGCAGAAAGGCAAGGGGATGGAGGGCAGCACTCAGGCAACACGGGGAAAGGAGGATGGCTACCAAGGTATGGACACACCTGGCCCCACCAGGTACATCAGCCTGGCACCACAGCGATGTGACCCAGCATCCCACACCACACAGCGTGCCGTGTTTCTGTGCCGCAGGAAACAGAGGAGGAGAAGGGTGACCCAGGGAGGGAGCTGCCAGCACAGTTGTGTGAGGGCTGTGCTCACACCTGTGACTTCAATGTGCTCAGCCCAAACACCCATGATGCCAGGGCAGGAGCCTACAAGGAGAACCATGACTGCAGGTCACACTGCCGGGGCTGTTGGCAGTCACTGCTTGTGCTCTTTTGTACACTGCTTCCAGTGTTGCAAGCCCACGCTTTATCCTTCCAGCGCCTGGGGAGCAGCGAGTCCAGTGGGGCCGAACGGGGCCACCAGCATGCTGCGGGGCAGTGACCCAGCGCAAGCCAGCTCTGGAGTGCCAGCATGCCTTGCACATGCCTCACCTGCCATGCTGGGAACACCGCTGGGCCACCCCGCAGCTCCAGTGCCCCCCGAGAGCCATGAGACCTCGCTTGCTCCTCACCCAAGCGAGGAGCCGAACAGCCCAAGCTGACCCGCCAGTGCACAACGAAGCACCGAGGCCACAGGGGGCCAGGGCAACGGTCTGGGCACAGACACCCCCCACTCCAGAGCGGGACACGGGGCACTAGGGGCTCACAGCAAGCCTAGAGCCACACAGACCCCCGGCCTCCTAGCCCTGCAGGGCACCTCCCAGGCCTGACCCCATCACTGCAGCATCCCTGCCAGCAGCCCAGCTCTGCACATTGACTCCAGGTGACCGTACAGAGTTTGTCACTGTAGTGAGATGCAGACAAGCCCTTCCCAAATGCATAGGGGCACCTGGCTCCTTCTCACCATCCGCTGAGTGCCGAAGCCCTCCAGAGTGGCACTCACCAGCTCGGTGTCCCCACGGTCCTTGTGCCGTCCCTCGCCTGAGCCATGCTGCGCTTGCAGCTCCTCCGCTCTCTGCAACAACAGAGCCCCGAGAAGTCGGGCTGATGCCCAGCAAGGACAGCCCCGTCCCACCAGAGGCCAGCGTGGGACAAGTCAGGCACCCGCAGTAGGACCATGCCTAGCTGGATGCCCAGCCTGCTCAGCCCTGAGTTGCAGCCGGACTGGTTGTTACTGTGGTCTCTTGCTTTGGTACCCCACACCAGCAGGCAGGCTCCTGCAGGCAGTGCAGGGGGAAGGGGGTATGTGGGGCTCCCCGCCGCCCCAGGCACAGTCAGCTCTCTGCTGCAGGGTGCTGGGCTGGACCCCCGTGCCACAGGGCTCTGGCTCACGTTTAGGGCCATCACTGCTAATTTTGAAATGCAATGCTGCCCAGGGGCCAGCAGGCAATCACTGACCAGCTGTCTTCTCCCCTGCCCTCGCCCTTCTCCTGGGCCTGCAGAGCAGGGACAGCGAGAGGCATGGCTGGGGATGCACCCCCTTGCCCTCCAGTCGGTGCTGTCCCTTGGCTTGGAGGCCTCTTCCCCACTTATGAGGAATGACAGGAACTCGCCAGAGACCAGCTGAGGTGGAAATCAAAAGGTTTTTACTCCCAGCTTAGGCAGGTTTTCACTGGGATGGTGGGTGCCAACAGCCCCCTTTGACTTTGGATGGACCACAATCAGTCCCAACCATATCGTGGCCAGTAATTTGTGCTTAGCCCTACTCAAACGGGTTTAGTCAGGTCATTTCCAAGGTGATTACTGGAGAGGGAAAAGGAGGCAGCAGAGAAGACGGGATTTACCTTCTGGGCCTTGTACAGCACCTCCAGGATGTTGCTAAGCAGCTCAATGCAGGCATCTTCCTCCTCCCCCTTCTCGATCAGCTCTTGCAGGATGGGCACAGCCATCTGCAGCAGCAGCTCCCGGCACTCTGTTGGGGCAGACAGGGAGGCATGGGGCTGGCAGGCGTGCCAGCACCGCCCCGGTGTGGGAGAGGACCGGGCAGGAAAGGGACCAACAGAACGGACAGGACCAGCATGACGCCTGGTCTGGGCTGCAACTCACACACACAGAGCTGCCAACTTCCTCCTTGGATGGAGCAGGTTTTTAGAAAAACACTAAATCCTGGTGGGAAGGCTCCAACACAAAGAATTCATTGCACCCTGTTACACAGCTACTTACCCTCTCTGCTAAAATAAACTAAAATAGAAAAGCCTCATCTGAACCTCTCTTGCTTCAGCTTCCACCAACGGACTTTGTTCTCTGCTCTATTAAAGGTGCTTACGATTTAACTAAATAGATGGAAATTTTTTAAACTGGACACCATCTAGATAAACTAGAGTTTCTAGTGCTGAATATATGAAAAACCTGTGCTCTTCCTATTATGTATTACTCTGTTCCTCTGCCCAGGACTGGTATTTGTGACACCACGCTGCACTGACGGCTCCACATTGCTGTTTATCACTACAATGGCACCACTAAAGTGGGGGCAAGGGGAAGGAAAGTCAGGGAAAATGTTTCTCTGTTGTTTTCTTGCTGGCAAGACTGACTACCATTGTGGGGTGTGGAGGAGCGGTGTCGTACCGCCTCCCGGGGCAGGCGTGGGGAGGGATGCGGGGAAGGACCCAGGGTAGGATGCGGGGAACGATGCAGGGAGGGATGCGGAGGTGCTCGCAGGATTGTAGTGGCCTAGAGCAGAGCTGGAGCAGGCGTCAGGAGGTGACCTGCCACCCGCACTCGATGGCCGAGTTAGACAAGTTCATGTTGCCAGCTCTCAAAGTCTCCAAGGGCAGAGACACAAAACGGTTCCTGCTGCCTGCAGCTGAGCTGCTGCCCTGCTCCCCTGAGCCTCCCTGTTGCGGCTGAAGCCCAGGGCCCCTGGCCCAGCTCCCCAGGGCAGCCCAGTCCCCTTCTCTTTGAAGATGCCTTGTGATATTTGGAAGCTCATCGTGTCTCCCCCGTGCCCTTTCCTGCCCAAGCCCCTCAGTCATTCCTTCCTCACCCTGTCTTCTAAGCTCTGCTTCTCTCACTGCTTTCTTCTGGAGTTTCTCCAGTTTAGCCACAAGTTTCTTGTGCCACCCAAAACCACACTTGGAAGTAAGCCCAGCCAAGGCCTCACGGACGCCGAGTAGGGTACAGGGCGCTCTCATGTCCGAGGGATGCTCTCCCCGTGAGGGCTGCATCGCTGAGCCCCGCTGCTCCCCTGGCCCCAAACCCCTCCTGCAGCCCTGCTGATGCTCTGGGATCCATCCTCTGCTTGCTCAGTGATTGCTTTCACATGGTTGTTTTTAACTTAAACATAGCTTTCAAAACCTTTTCTTCAACTTGTTGAGAATATTTTAAATCCTGAGTCTGTCCTCCAGTGTGCCTCCAGTCACTTCTGCCTTGCAGGGCAAAATTTACCAAGTCTTCTCTTTTTTCCATCATCTAGATTACTCCTAAGAATACCAACCAGCATCAGAGTCAGGGCAGACCTGGGGAATCCTGCTCAGTATGTCCTTCCAGTCTGACAGCAAGCCCCCAACCTCCCCAAACACCACTCCTAAACCATTGCCATGCAGTCCAATGACTGCATATTGCTTCAGCTAAACCGTGTTTCCCTCTGCAGCCTGGCAGCATTTCAGAGCGCAAGAGAGGGTCACTCCAACAGGACCAGCTGCACCCTGGTGAGGGGCTGGGCAACGCATGGTTCCAGCACAAGCTAGAGGGAAATGCCTCCGTCTGCAGAGCTGCCCCGGGCACGGGTGCTGTCTTAGGGGCAGAGGAGGAGTCCCTGTGGCAGGGACTTGTCCCCGTCCGATGCTCTGGCCCTCCCAGAGACCTCAGCATGGGCAGTGCCGCCAGGACCCCTCGGTGCCCCTTCTCACCGTAGGACTGGAAGATCTTGCTGTTGACGATGTCGGTCAGGGACTGCAGCTTCTGCTTCAGCAGGCGCTGGGGCGGCAGGTTCCCAATGAAGTCCCGCAGCAAGGCCCTGCCATCCAGGCGAGAGGATTTAACAAGTGTTAAATATGGGGCCTGCAAGAACCCCGCTTGTTTTGCAGTCCCGAGCACCTGCAGCCCCTTTCCTTCTGCAGAAGACAAATGCAGCAGTGGGGGTCGGGTACTGATTGCCCCTGTATTTCGGTCAGAACAGGGCTGCTGGGCAGGGGGAAGCCGCTCGACGGGGGCAGAGCTGTGTGGGGAGGTGCAGGGCAGGATGGTCCCACTGCACAAAGCTGCAAGGCAGCCCGTGCCCACCACAGACGGCCACACGGAGACACCCGGCATAAAAACCCTGCCTGAATTCCTGAAACGGACCCGGCTGGGACTGATGGTTTCCAGGCTCAGCCCCTGCCGGAAGCACAGGCTACTGCTAAAATTGAGCAAAACCCTCCCCTGGTTTTGCACTAGGAAGGCAATCCCCAGGCGTCAGGAAACCCAGACCCCTTTGCCTGCCCTGGCCCTCGGCTTGACAGCATCAGCCTGCGTCCCTGCCGGCAGCTCCAGGATGGGGGGGCGTCACTGTGGGATGCGAGGGGGGGCAGAGGTGGCTATGGCAGGCACCGAGCACGCTGCAGAGCAGGACTGGGGATGATGGGGGCGACAGGGACCCTACCCCAGCGCAGAGGAGTCGAAGATCCCAAACACATCCTCGAGGATGGAAGGCAGGGACTTCAGGGCTGCTCCCTGCAAAGAGACGAGAGAGCTGCCTGCACCGGCCCTGGTTTGCCATGTGCCCACGGGGCAGGACAGACGGATGGATGCCACACGGGCAGGGAGGTGACCCCTGGCCCCTCCTGCTTCCCCCCCAGGTTGTGGGTGCTGAGCAAGCACCATCCTCGTTCAGCTCCCCCTTTTGTTAAAGCAGTGCTGCGCTCAGCCAGCCCATCGCCCTGGACATCCCTGGGGAAGGCGTGTCCAGATGGGAGCAGCTTCCTTTTGCCAAGCTACCAGTGTCCAGCAAAGCACCCAGAACTGCTACGGTCACATACCTCTACCACTGTCAATAAGAATAACTGCCTCCAGCTTTTACTTTGAAACCACATAAACTCCTACAACATGGCTATCAGGTATGTAGGCCCTGGCTTGCGTTGCTTGTAAAACCCCCCGGCCCGGTTCACGGCTGCCCCGCTCACGGCTGCTGGCAGTCGCTGCTGCCGCAGCTGAGGCTGCTGGAGGAGCAGGGCTGCCCTGCATCCAGCCCGGCTCCACGCTCTCGCTGGAAGGCTGCAAGGGTGGGGGACACATGGCTATTTGTTTTTTGGAACAGCAAACACACTGACCACAAACTGTTCTGCATTAAAATTGACTTTGTTATGTTTATGATGTGACTAAGTAGCATAAACGACTTGCCGAGTTCTGCTTATCTCCAGCTTTGCCAGGATAGCTGGTCCTTCAGGCTTCCCTGGGCTTCAAATTGTGCTGAAAGTGGCACCGGGGACCCTCCAGCCTCCAGGTGCAGCCAGAGGTGGTCGCTACACACTTCTGCACTTCAGCATCAGTTTCAGGAGGTTCAATGCCTGCAGTTCCACACGGGGCCAACCGCTACACGATTCAGCTCCAGGAATTTTTACTCAGCAGTTTTGGCATCGAGACTGTTGTCTCCCTCTGAGTTTCAGTAGGAGTTTGAGAGATTGGTACCTATTGCAAATTCGCCTAGTTTTAAAAAGTGCCTGGACAAGTTCACCTTGGACACATCCCTCAGAGCACAGCAAATATGGAGATTACGGGCACAGGCTGGGCGAGTCCCTGGAGGGGTTTGCCCTGGGAGCACCCTGCAGTGGGACCGAAACCTCTGCTTGGCTCTGACCCCTTGACGGGCGGCTGCTGCCCACGTCAGGGCAGTAACAGGCAGGGAGGACCCTTGGCCTGAGCCGGGATGGTTCTGTGAAGATCTCCAGATGTGATTAAAAACTCCATCCCAGAGGCCCTGCTGGCCCAGAGCCGGCTCCAGCGGCGGGAGTCGCCCATCCTGCTGCCCGGCTCCATGTTCCCGGCGAGCTCGGTGAGCTCCAGCGCCCTTTGCTGGACTGGGCTCTGCCTTTGCCTGAGGCACTAAGCAATGCTCCAGCAACGTCTTCTCCCTCTGGGTTTGCAAAGACTGTGATCAAGTTCTCCACTACCCTCTTCTAGCTGACTAAAATGGTGTTAATTTACATCAAACACACCAGACCCTGAGTAATTTCTGCAGCTCTTGCAAACCCTTCTCTGATACTTAGATACCTGTTGCAACTGAGGGCAGCAAGGCCGGGCGCATCATCTACCAACAAGCCTTGTTCACATCGTGTGCCCCTCCAGACATTTCTGTTTAATGCCTCTTTGTGTATAAATCCAGGGACTGACTTATTTCTTTGCAATGACACCACGCTCAGAGTCGCCTTCGGCCGCTCGCTGCTGGCAGCTCCTGGCTCTGCTCCCAGCTGCTGCCCCGCAGCCCCGTCCCCTGCCCCGTCCCCTCTCTGCCCACAGAGCCTGGGCACGGAGCAGAGGCTTCCCCGTTATCCAGCACCGCCACTGCTGCCCGTGCCCCCTGCACCGGCCACGGCCACGTCTGGCGAAATGGCAAACATGCAAAGATGTCTGAGCCGAGAGCCGACTCCCCTGGAAATGGAACCAAAGAAATGCCCATCCCAGTATGACTGTTCTCCATTTGTAATGACTTTTTTTAGAATTGAGAAGATATATATTAAGGAGATTAAAAGTAGTTATTTTAATAACTTACACAATGCTAATTTTAAATCAGAATGCTGTGTCAAGTCAAACAGTTGTTAGTCTCGCCTATTATGTCAGTTATCTTAGTCAGTCACATTTGTAACTTCAAAAAAGTAACAGCTAAATTTGATATTTTTTTTTATTAAACTCCATGCTTAGTAAAGCTGGACTGATTAACATTAATTATACTGCCACCCTTTAAGTCTGAATTGATTGCATCCTCTCCATGACTGAGCCAGGATCAATGGTCAGCCTCTTTGGCCTACAGTTAGCAAGGTCATCTGATTCACTTTTTGAAAAATGAGCTAATATACTTTTTCCCATTCCTCAAGGATTTTTCCAGTGTTACAAGACTTCTTAAACATCAGCATCTATGTCTCAGAGAGGATTTCTTCCAGAAACTGGTTCTGGCTTTTATTGTAACTGCCGAGGTAGCTGCCTGTCCTTGCAGAACTGAAAATGTCTTTCACCACTGAGGATGAGCCCCTTCTTACTGATTTTTCGTGGCAAGAGCATGTGAGCCTGGCCACAACATACAAATTGTGTCCGATTTCTCCCCAGCTGCAGAACAGCAATGTTTGTTCGAACCAGCTGCCCTGTCCATGCCATCACTGGTGATGCTCTGGCAGTGCTGGTGGAGCTGGAGGATGGACCACTGGCACCCACCCGCTGGGTCCGGTGGGAGCGGGCAGGGAGATAGCCATCAGGGAGGCCAGCGCAGAGCGGGGATGGGCACAGAGCCCAGCAGTTGCCAGCTTGGCTCGGGAGCTGCCTCTGGTGCACGTGGCAGCGACTGTCACCTTTGCACAACGCCGGTGGCAGGTTGTCCTGCAGAAAGCCACCCCCTGGCCAGCAGCCACAGGGGAAGAGTCAGAGCAACCTCAGCGAAGCTCCAACCATGGACACTTGTGAGCAGCCGCTCAGGAAAACGGAGGCCCTGACCTGGGCTGTGAAATGCAAATGCAAACCCAAATACTCCAAGGGCCGGCAGCGGGCTGGGGCCATCTCCTCCGCTCCACCCTGCTGAGCTGCAGGTAAGCCTGAACCTAAACCAAGGAAGGATGGAGGGGAGTGGGTTGTCCTTCTCAAGGCATGAACAAGGGGAAACATGCACCCACTAAAAGTAGTGACCTGCTGTTGCTGCATGCCTGTGTGGGCTGTCTGCAGGCACGGGACCCAGTAGTTTGGGTCCCCTGAAGCTCCCAGCTGTGCTGGCAGCAGCGTGATGCTCTGCTCTGCCTTGCTCAATGCCTTGGCAGCTGGCGTGAGTCCTAAGTGTTTGCTTAAGTCTGTACCCCAATCCCACCTCAAAACTCAACTTCTTTGGGTGCAGAGAAAACCAGGGCTCCAGAAGGGAAGCAGTGGGATGAGTGAAGCTCTTCTCAAGGGCCCTCTGGCTACAGCAGGGAGCAGTTGCAGCAGAAGCCCTATCTCCTGGCTGGAGATGTGCAAGGCAGCTGCACACAGGGAGCAGGTAGCCTTCCATCTCTTTCACATCAGGGGCACTCTCCAGGTCACAGTGTTTATTGGGGATGCTGGAGGTCTTTGGGTGAAGAGCTGCTCCTGCTCTCTGGCTAGGACCACGCCATGGGTTTGTCCCTGGCCCCCAGCCTGTCTGATACCAATAAGCAGAGCCAAAAGAGGCTCAGCTTCCTCTCCACGGCTCTGAGTAGTCAAAATACTACAAAACCTCCCAGCCTGAAGTACTCCAACAGAGGACCAGCTCTCTCCACAGACGAGGTGGCCTTTGCAGGAGTGTTGCAGCTAAGGAGCTATTATCAGCTCTGCCTTGGGCTGATCAGATAATTGCAGCTTTAACGGAAAGAGTAGGCAGAACGGGATGAAGCTGCAAAGCTTACGTCAGCCACTAACAGATCTTTTGGGTATCACCTTCAGCTGCCAGATGGGAGCTGGTCGTTGCAGCTAGAGATACTGGGTGTCTGCAAGCTCTGTAAAGCAGCTACAAAGTCCACTTAGAGAACAAGAAAAAAAAAGTTCTTTTCTTGGAGTACCTGCTCAAGATGTTCAGGAGACACCATCAGGGCTGGATATAGCAAGACCCAGTGGCTTGGGTCCAGCAGGAACCATTGCAGGATGCAGTGGGTCCTGCACCCCTGTGGCCGGGGTGACCATGGGTCAGGACACCAGGGAAGCCACGGGACCCTCCGGATGGGGGAGCAATGGTGAGGCCAGGCAGAGGCACCGGGAGCCAGGCAGCACGAGGCTGGGCACTTGGTCTGAGGCTCAGAGAGGAAGAGGATGGGACCTTGCTGGCTCACAAACCCGCAGTGGTGCTTCCCAAGGTCAGGGTCTCTTAAGACAGAAATGACTTTATATTTAAATAATCCTGGGTGGATTTTTCTTCCACGGATCAGTACAGCTGTTTGCAAACTGCATAAACTTTCAGCATCAACACCCTGCTCTGCAGAACAGATACAGACCATCACAAGGGGCTCGACAGCTTCATCACACAGCAGATGAACAAGCACTGTCTTTGCCCATTTCACGAGATGCTCCCTCCTTCCTGAGTCAGGAGAGACCTTGAGCAACCATTTCCATCTCCAACCCCCCTTCCCAGATCAGAGGCGAATCTGCAGCTCCCTGTCCCAGCTCCCTGCTTGTCTCTTTTCCAGGATGGAGGGGTCTGGTCTGGCCAGGTAGGTGATCCCACCTGAAAGCTGCCCCATACACTTGGTCACCCTTCCCTGGGGCTTTTGCAGCTTGACTGCACGCTCTGAAGCGTGGGCACCAGACACAGATGCACCACAGGGACTTACGCTGTGGCAAAGGACATTTTCTGTTTTCTTCTCAAGTCCCTTCCTGATAATTCCCAACTTTGAGTGAGCGTTCCCTGATCGGTGCCAGGCATGGAGCTGACGTTGCCAGAGTACTATCCGTTATAGTCCCAGGTCTTATCCGCCAGCGCATCAGTCGGCTCGGAGCCCATCACCGTGGGTTTAAAGTTAAGGGATTTCTTGCTTTTAAGACCATTTTCTGATTTTCACTTCCACGCTGAATAATTTCACCTGGGCACTCTCTCCCCCAGTGAAACACTTTGTCAGTAACGTGGGAGAAGCCCCATCACCATAACGCCTGCGGAGCAGCAGAGCTGGCGGTGAGCACCAAGGAGGACAAGTGACGGCAAGGAGGAGACCTGGCTGACACCACTGCGACACTGTGCACTGTAATGTGGCTGAGCGTGAAGCCACACTCATAAATACCAAAAACAAGCTGCGTCGACAAAATTGACAACTTTGAAGTTGGGAGGCAATGACCTGGGGGAGGTCAATGAGAAACAACCCTGATGCCGCCCCGCTCTGATGGAACGAGCTTCCCTTTCTGCCACCCTCCAAGGAGCCACCACCAAGCCAGCGACCTGGTGACGAGATCTCCGAGTCCAGGTATTCACACCCAGAAGAGACAGGAGCAGAGGGAAAGTCTCTCTGAAGGACTGTGTCCTGCTACTGCGCAACACTGAAGCCCACTACAGACCATCGCCCCAGCACCTAGACCTGCTCAACACTCCAGCAATCCCCAAGGAAGAGTCTGGGGGGCTTCTAACGGGGACATTTCCCCTAAAATCAGCACAGATCTGCTAGAGAGCTTCAATCTCTCCTGCTCTCTCTAACACAGTAATAGCAACCAGAAAAGCTATTTTCACAGGGAAAGCTCCCGCTTGGCAGTTGGGATCCCACTGCAGAATTCAGCCGTTTCCAGGAGAAAGCATGGTCAGACTCAGCAAACCTGGCAGCAGCAGCGGGCAAATTTCCAAGCCCCATTCCCAGCTTCCTACAGGCCGCTGCTCTGGGCGGAGGGCAGCTCCCACCAAATCCTCACCCCAAACTAAGGGATCGCGCACTGAAGCCACAGCAGTGCAACGGTACGTGAGGAAATACTGTTTTCCAGTCTGTTTTTTAACAATGTTTGGCTGTTGCATACACCCACAGTGCCTCGAGCGCACTGGAGGAACCACAACAGTGCTGCAACTGGAAAATTGTCCTGCTGAGACGTGCAGCTGCTGCTGGCTGTGTGACACCTGGACTCCCCCAGCACTGAGATGCCAGCCCAGCTGGGGTAACTGCAGCCTCCTCTTTTCCAGTTAATGCCGTCTGCTGTAAGGCTGCAGCCTCAGGGCGCTCGGGGTGAAGCACACGTGTGTTTCCCCACGCCTTGCCGGGACACCCGGCACGGCTGGATCCCAGACGTGGGCTTCGTCCACTCCTGACAGTCCTCCGACTCCTCGCTGACACTTTCGACAGGCAGCTGGTGGACCTGGCTGCACCGCCTGTGCCTCGTGGCAAGCCCTGCCGCACTGTCTGTGCCTCGTGGCTATTATTTGCTATTGCCACTGCTTTTCCTGATCTTAGCCACAGAGCAGCTGCAGGGATGCCTTTTCTGGTGATGCATGGGCAGACCTTTCCCCTCTGCCCTGGACAATGGCCTCTGGTGCGTTTGCAAGAATTACTTTCTGCAGACCTGAACAAGGTGCTGAGTGATGCAGAAATCACACAGGTGAATGTGCAGCAGTCGGTAACACTGCAGCGCATCAGGTTAACATAGCACAGAGACTCTAGAGCGACAGTATCGAGATGGAAATCAGAATAATGATCAGTGTTTAGATGGGAGAGGGGATAAGGAGGGACAGCCCTCCTCCTCTCCGTGAGGATAACTGTCGTGTTGGTCTTCAAACTACTTTTTTAAAAATTAGATTAGTTTATAAGGGATTATCTAAGAATGCCATGAAATAACGCAACACAGGAGCAGGAGCTGCCAGCTGTCCTGGGGCCACCACGCGCCCCAGCCTGCAGATGAGGTCCCCAGCTGCGCTCTGTGGTGCCTCTCTCCAGCTGGGAGACCGCAGGTGCAGAGTGCGGCCCCATCCTCACCCCTGGCACGGCACCAAAGCGAGACCGACTCAGCCCCAGCACCGGCTCCTGCCTCCTCTCGCTAACTGACTTCGCAGAGTGCACGTGGCTCCATCGCGTTCTCCAGCTCCCACCCCCAGCACCGTCACACCAGCAGCTGGAGGACCTCGACACTGGCTGCCAGTAAAGGACGCAGCCGTGCCCACGGGGACCCACAGTGCAAAGGGCACCGTTTCTGCTCCCCCTTGGGCCCACCCATGCTAGCGTGGTCCCGGGGTGCAGGGAGCAGGGCCAGGCCAGCTCCGGGACAGGGATGAGCCCCAGGAGCCCTCCTGAGACCCTCTTCTCCAGGCATCGGCACATGCATGACCAGGAGAGCGTTTGCCCGAGCTGCTGACCCCAGCCTGCACCATGGCCCCCGGCACCAGCGCAGTGTGGGGTTTTGTGGTCTGGGGCCTCAGGGGCCTTTGCACCAGGGGCACAAGTGGGGGTCCCCAGGTGGAACAAGGCACCGCGCCGGGTGACAGCTCCCTTTGATGTCCTGTGCATGAGGACTGCTGACCCCAGCCTGCACCATGGCCCCCGGCACCAGCGCAGTGTGGGGTTTTGTGGTCTGGGGCCTCAGGGGCCTTTGCACCAGGGGCACAAGTGGGGGTCCCCAGGTGGAACAAGGCACCGCGCCGGGTGACAGCTCCCTTTGATGCCCTGTGCATGAGGAGGTCCGCATGCAGGACGGCCGGTGTCACCCCTGCACGGGCACAGCCGGTGCCTCCCCCGCTGGGGCACCGTCCATCCCGCCACGCACCAGAGCTGAGCCCCCCCGCAGCACTGGCCCCCTGCCATACCTGGGAGAGCAGCGTGGGACCCTCCAGTGGGGATTTCATCAGCTGGTTCAGGGAGAGGAAGAACCGCTGCAGTGAGCACTGGAACTCGGCCGTCTCCTTTCCCTCGTAGAGCCTGCAACAGCCAGAGTCACCGCACTGCCACTGCACCGTGCACCTTCCCCTGGGGACTGTGGGTGTCACCTGCGATCCCAATTAATTATGCTCCTTCGTGACCATTTTCCATAGCTGAGTCTAGCAGCAAGCCCTGGCACGGCCACTACCCCGGTACGGCCACTGCCCCAAGATGGCCACTGCCCTGGCATGGCCACTGCCCGGCCCCAGGGCCAGCCAGAAGCAACGCTTCAGATGTGCAGAATTACCCATATTAAAGACTGCTATCTGCTCTCTTACAGTATTTATATACACCACTTACACACACTCACATATATACTCTGGTTTGTTTTTTAATAGACTCTTTTACATGATTTTGTACACTGAAGTCCTCTCAAAGGAGGTTGGTATCTTCCCACCTGAGCAGGAAACCTCCTGCGCCCTCCAGCCTGAACACAACCTGCATGACCAGTTGCAGAACAAACCAAACACGTGGGGAATTTTAGCCATGAGACGTGCAACACTGTGAGGAAGTTTCAAAGCTGCTAAATCAAATGCATAATCGTAAGAATAAAGTCACCATAATAACTCATTGTGAAAAACAGGTCGTGTTTGAGCTGATTCACCCCATCCATTGACACAGCAAATGAAGCAGTGAGCCCTGCTGGGGAACGATTTGCAGGCACAGATGGGGGAAATAAGGGACAAAATGCTGATCTCCCCGTGGCTGCAGACAGATGTGTCTTCCAGCCCAAGCTGACCCCTGCACACTGACCACCACTGCGGCAAGCAAAATGTGTTTGGTTCTTAATTGTGTCTTGGTTTCTAATTGTGCATACAGCAGCAGAGCAAACAAGATCTGTCATTTTTTGCTTAACAGCTATTTTTATTGAATCTAGTTTTTGTAAAAACTTTGCTGCTTTGTTTTCTATAATTACAGTTGGATAGTTCTCCCTTCAAATTCATCTTTCGTATCTGGTAAACGAGCCCAAGGGAACGTACGAAACATCGCAGGTTTGGCAGCAGTAACAAGCCTGTTGATCTGCCTGAGGCATCTCAGATGTGCTCAGACAAATGCATCGCCTGAGCAGCGGCTGGTTTACAGCCCTTGGCTGACTTCCAAGTCAAAGCAAAGCTTAGACTAACTGAAGACAGGTCCCTCCCTCTCATCCCCTATGTTAAAAGTTACTAAGCAGTGGGAGCCCCCAGCAGCACCCCCCGCTCCGCAGCCCCATCCCGCAGCCCTGGAGCCTGGCCCAGCTGCTCCGCCTGGCCCAAAACCCCACCAGAAGCCGGGAAATTTAAAGAAATCTGTATGTGTTAAAATAAGCAAAAGGAAATGAAGGTCCACATACAGCTTTTACTCTCACAGCAATGATATCATGCAATGATCATCATTTATTAGAGATTTGTTGGATTTTTCACAGTCCCTCTTTTTAATGCACCTACCCACAACCAACTGGTGTGGATTTTCAAGCTCACCTCCACCGTAAACTCTTGCCTACAAAATACTGTATTTTTATTTTAAAGAGGGCATGCACGAATATGATATGCTATTTTAACAACTGTAAGATATGTCGTCAACACTGATTTCTGAACTTTTAAGTGTGTAATGACTTAAACCAGAGCAGTATAAAGCAGTCAGAGTGTGCAGGTCAATTAAGCCAAGATAACGGCTGATTTCCATTGCTGCAGCAGACGTGGGTCAACATGGTCTTTAATTATCACCAACCTACTGGTTTGGAGGATTTTATCAGGAAAACTGGCAGGCAGAGCCCAGTCCTTGAGCCCAATGCCTCTTGGGTGTAAAGACACCGGGCATGCTCCTGTTTCAGTTCCTACAGCTTCGGGCTCCAGCACACAACCGAGCTCGAGGCACGGCACAGAAATCCTGCGAGTACTGACAGCGAAGTGACAGGAAAAATTATCTGGCCACAGCTCACTAAGCAAATTAGTATGGACCGCGATAAAAACGGTGCTGAACATGATTTACTTGGGAAGGGTCAGCGTGGCTCTCAGAAAGGAACACCCTGCCTGCGGACCCCCAGAGCTCTTCCGCAGGAGCCTCCAGCCAGACAGTGGCTGGAGCCCAGCAGC